TTTCTCTATTCTATTTACCACCTTTGATTCCTGGGAGATTAAATCTACACAAGCGTAGATACATACTAATATGATGAACTTTAAAATGTTATTTTCCTTCCTTTATCATCAATGATTATCATTTAAAGTTGTTATGAAGGCTTTGTGACAGAGGTTATACTAAAATTGAAAGTATATGAACTTACTGAAAATCATGTAAAAATTAGCTATGTTTTTAATGTGGTTTCTCAGATTGATTAATTTATGCAATTGAATTGTTCTACTCTCTTGTAAACATACATTCACACTTTGCAAACTTGCACACCTGCAAAGTAAAGTGTGGTGGTATTTATGACATTATCACTGTTTCATCAAGAATGATAAATCAGTCAGGTTATCTTTTAAATTTGATTTTACAGGCCATTATATTTCACCTTCCTGTCTCAATGCAGTGGAAATTGATTCCATAAAGGGCTCAAAGGCCAAAAGTATTTTAAACTTAATCATTTTAAAACATCTTGGCATTGATGAAGTATTGTTACATTAATTTGGAAAGGTTTGAAGTTGTTACAGAGTTTAATAGTATATGAAAGCACTTTCCCTAAAGACAGATGAATTGGTTTGGATATGGTGAATTTTTTTTTTAGGGATGTGTGTCTTTAAAAAATTACTTTTTGGCCAGGCGCGGTGGCTCACGCCTGTAGTCCTAGCTCTCTGGGAGGCCGAGGCGGGCGGATTGCTCGAGTTCAGGAGTTCGAAACCAGCCTGAGCAAGAGCGAGACCCCGTCTCTACTATAAATGGAAAGAAATTAATTGGCCAACTAAAAATATATACAAAAAATTAGCCGGGCATGGTGGCGCATGCCTGTAGTCCCAGCTACTCGGGAGGCTGAGGCAGGAGGATCGCTTGAGCCCAGGAGTTTGAGGTTGCTGTGAGCTAGGCTGACGCCACGGCATTCACTCTAGCCTGGGCAACAAAGCAAGACTCTGTCTCAAAAAAAAAAAAATTACTTTTCTTTTTTGGATTGAAAACATGACAAGGATATGCCCGTATAGGTTTCAGTCTGAATTTTAACCAAGATTATAGAACTTATGGAATAGTCTCTGTTTCTCTTTCTTTCTTTCCCCCCTATCTTCCATTATTCCTTTGTTCCCTCCTTTTAGCATTTATTAACACTTGTATAATAGGAACTATATTAGGTTCTAGGGATCCAGAGATGAAAGGATACAATCTCTGCTCTCAAGGGACTAAGTCTAGTTGGTAAGAACGAAGAATAATAAACTAATTTTTTTTTTTTTTTTGAGACAGAGACTCATCTGTTGCTTGGGCTAGAGTGCGGTGGTGTCAGCCTAGCTCACAGCAGCCTCAAACTCCTGGGCTCAAGCAATCCTTCTGCCTCAGCCTCCCAAGTAGCTGGGACTATAGGCATGCGCCACCATGCCCCGTTAAATTTTTCTATATATATTTTAGTTGGCCAGTTAATTTCTTTCTATTTTTAGTAGAGACTGGGTCTTGCTCTTGCTCAGGCTGGTCTCAAACTCCTGAGCTCAAATGATCTGCCCACCTCAGCTTCCCACTGTGCTAGGATTACAGGCGTGAGCCACTGCACCTGGCCAATAAACTAATTTTAGTATTGGTGGTGGAGTGGTCAGGAAAAGCTTCCTGGAGGAGGTGGTGGTTGAGGTAGAAAGTTGAGTTATAGTTAACAAGCAGATGAAATTAATCTTATCTGGGGTATTTATGATATTGGGTTATGATACCTTTCTTTATACCAGAAATGGCAGAGTAGGGAATACCAAGGCTCTTTCCCTCCATAAAAACAAATAACAAGTGCTGTCAGAATCAACTTTTGTCGAACTCTGCAATCCAGTCAAAAGCTTACAACCAACAGGGGAAAGCTATGAAGAAGGCTGCTGCAACGCAGTAAGGGAGCTCTCCGGTGTTTTAAATGATCTGCCTACCATTCCCCACACACTAGATCAGAGGTGGCCATGAAGACAGCAGCCTGTACTTCTTGTGAAGGTTGCCAAGTGCTGAAAGGAGCAATATGGACCTTATTCTCAAAGAATTGTGGTTGTGTGTTTCAATCTATCCAGCAGCTACCTGAAGGACTAGTGCAAAGGCTTGCCTTTGTTTCGCCCACCTGACTCAGAGCATTTGCAGTGCTGGGGCGGCTTCCCAGGTGGCATTTGCCAAAAGCATTTAAAGGCCAAAGTATTGGCTGTAGCAGCCTGGAGCAAAGGGAACCAGTCAGGATAAGCAGCGAATAGACCAAAAAGCCTGGAAAGAAAGAGAGTGGGAAAGGAGATACGTGGGAGAATGAGGGCTTTTAAAATTTGCCATGAAAATTAGAGAATTAAGAAGACCATGCACATGCCCCAGACTTGACACATGCTCAGGAAAGGCCTGAGAAAACCCTAAGCTTCTAATTGACTTTCAGGTTCTGTACAAGTAGGAAGTAAAGGCAACTGCAGTATTATAAATGAAGCATTGAAGTAGAGTCCTAAAACGGGGCCAATCTTCAAAGAGTGGGAGAGTTTTAAAAGTTCTTTCTACTTTTAAAATAGTATTTTTGGGCTCCAGGTGTTTATGGAAATGCTATCAGTACATGGCAGCTGGCCACTAAACTAACAGAACACAGACTTCAGTGATCACATACTACAAATAGAATCTGTACAAAAATCACTTAGGAAAGTAACTAAAACAACAATAGCCCCAAACAAGCAATAACAACAAATAAAACAATTTTGACTTAATTTTTGTATATATACTGAAGTAGTGGTCTACTTTCATTTATTCAAATGTGGATATCCAGTTATTCTAGAATCATTTGTTGAAGAGACTATTCCTTCCCCATTGAATGCTCTTGGCACCCTTGTTGAACATCAATTTACTATAGATGCATGGGTTTATTTCTGGACTTTCAATTCTATCCTTTTGATCCTTATGCCAGTACTTCTCAGATATTCCAGCCTTGTATTAAGTTTTGAAATCAGGAAGTATGAATCTTCCAACTTTATGCTTTTTTTAAAAAAGATTGTTTTGGCTAATCGGGGTCCTTTGCAATTCCATGTATTTTTAGGATCAGCTTTTATATTTCTGCAAAAAGGCTATTGGGACTTTGATTGGTATTGCATTGACTCTAGATCACTATGAGAGTATTGACATCTTTAAAATATGAAGTCTTCCAATCCATGAACATGGGATATCTTTCTATTTCTTTAGGTTTTCTTTAACTACTTTCAGCAATGTTATATGATTTTCAGTGTGTAAGTCTTTTACCTCTTTCATTAAATTTATTCCTAAGTAATTTATTTTGAGGGGAGATTCTATTATAAATGGAATTGTTTTCTAAGTTTTCTGGAAACAGAATTGTTTCTTGCTGGTGCACAGAAATGCCACTGATTTTTTGTGTGTTGTGTATACACTGCCACTTTGCTGAATTTCTTAGCTTTAGTAGCTTTCTTATGGCTACTTTGGGATTTTCTATATGTGGAATCATATCCTTTACAAATAGAGATAGTTTTATTTATTCTCTAATTTGCATATCTTTTATTTCTTTTTCTTGCATAATTGCTCTGGCTAGAAGTATCGGGACGATGTTGAATATCAGTGATGAAAATGGCATTCTTGTTTGTTCCTGATCTTAGGAAGGAGGTTTTTAGTTTTTCACCATTGTATGTCGTGTCAGCTGTGAGTTTTTCATAAATGCTCTTTATCAGGTTCTGGCAATTCCTTTTTATTTCTAGTTTCTTGAGGTTTTTTTTTTTTCTCATCAAAGGGTATTGAATTTTGTCAAATGCTTTTTCTGTATTAGATGATTATGTAATTCTTCCCATTCATTCTAGTAATATGGTGTATTACATTGATTAATTTTCATATATTGAACTATTCTTATATTCTTGAGATAAATACAATTTGGTTAGGTTTCGAAATCCTTTTAGTATGCTGCTGGACTTGGTTTGGTAGTATTTTGTTGAGGATTTTTGCATTTATGTTTATAAGAAATATTGGTCTATATTTTTCTTTTCTTGTGATGTCTTTGTTTGGCTTTGATATCAGGGTAATACCAGATTCATAGCATGAGTTGGAAAGTCTTCCCTTCTCTTATATTTTTAGAAGAGTTTGAGAAGGATTTCTGTTAATTCTTCAGTAAATATTTGGTAAGTATGTGGTTAATTCTTTGGTAAATACCAGTGAAGTCATCTGATTCTGGGCTTTTCCATGTTGAGAAGTTTTTGATGATTATTCATTCAATCTCTTTACTACTTAAAGATATGTTCAGATTTTCCATTTCTTCTTTAGTTTTGGTAGTTTGTGTTTCTAGGAATTTGTCCATTTCATGTAAGTACCTAATTTGTTGGCATATATATTTTCATAGTATTCTTTTATGATCCTTTTTATTTCTGTAAGGTTACTAACCAATGCTACACTTTTATTCCAAATTTTATTAATTTGAATCTTCTGTTTTTCTTCAACAATCTATCTAAAGGTTTATCAATTCTGTAACAGTGTCACCTGGAGGACTCCCTTTTGTATTTATTTCTGTTATGGAAGATTTCAGTCAAGGGCAGAGTATTTAGTCTAAAAAAGTGAAAGGACACCCTCTGAGATCAGGTTTGACCAGATAAAGATGGGAGTGAATTTACTTGGAGAGTTCAAGGACTTCGTGGCTCAGTCGCTTGATTTTCTTGATGACAGGTACTCTAAATTCATCTGCTCTGGATGAGGAGGGAAGTGTGCAGACAACATGACTGACCCTATGGAAGGTTTGAAGTAGTAACTAAGAGTATGGGAGATGGAGCTGAGACAAGAGAAGCTCCTGTGCATGCACCTATCCAAATCTGTCACCTGGCTAGGAATTCATTCCACAACACTGAGTATGGTCTTTCCCAGGCTCTTGGAAACAAAGCTGCCGTTGGTTCCCTACAATCCCGCACAGCCACCCATCCGGTTCTCAAGTAGGGGTCGCTGTGCTGGAGGAGGCTGGTCCCAGCAGGCCTTGCGGGCGTGACTCAGCTCCTTTTTGTGACGCGTCTTGCCGTCGCCTGAAGGAGGTTGGTGCGGTGAGGGAGAACAGCTTAGCTTTTTGTGAGGAGAAGGAGGGAGTGAGGGACGAAGGAGGCCAGGACTGGGCAAGGACTGAAGTAGGACTGAGTGGGAGGGGAAGGGCAGACCGGTTGGTGGCCGCAGCCCGCACCTGTGTCTGGTGGCGGCGTAAGCGGCGGCAAGGCTCCGGGAGGCGGTTACTTGACTAGGCCACAGCGGCCATGGCTGTGGAGTTTGGGGACCACGCCAGCGGGTTCCGCCACAATGAGGTGATCAGGTTCATCAACAATGAAGTCCTCATGAATGGTGGCAGCCCAGACTTCTATGTGGCCTTCCGCTCGCGACCCTGGAGCGAGGTAGAGGATCGGCTTCGGGCCGTCGTGGCAGATCCCCAGGTGCCGCGCGCCCTTAAACGGGCCTGTGCCTGGAGCGCGCTGGCCTTGAGTGTGCGAGCGGGTGCGAGGCAGCGGGAGCAGCAGACGCGCCGAGTCAGGCGGCTGCAGGAGCAGGTGGAGGAGCGCGAGTTGGCTTCCTGGGCTATGGCGTCTGAGCTACAGCGGTTGCGCGACGAGCGTGAGGATGCGGCCACACAGCTGTACTTCACACGGGCCGCTCTGCAGCAGGCATTAAATGAGCGTGAAATGCTACGAGGAAGGCTGCTCCAGGTCCAGAGGTCAGCACAGGTCACCCCACTGGCCATTGACATAATGCCTGTGATGGGAGTTGAGCAGCAAGGGGCTGTAGCGTGTCCTCTGAATACAGATCAGCAGGGAGAGATGGTGGTTGCAGGGGCACAGGGCGGACTGTATTTTGAGACCCAGATGCCAGCCCCGACAAGTGTTCTTTATGTGCCAGGACCCCCAAGTCCCTGGGCCCAGGCCATACAACCCCCTCTGCCAATGCCAGGGCCATACCCATTACCATACCAGGGACCAATCCCAATGGGATTCCCAGTCTTGCCACCTCCACCACCTGCAGTAGTCATGGAAGCAGAAGGAGCAGTAGTTCCACTTCAGATGCCTCCTGTGGGGATCTACCCACCTGGCCCTTGGGCTGCAGTGGGCTCCCAGGAGGACATGGCATCTCTAGGGTACCAGAGGGGCTACATCCAGGAAGAAGGTTCTGTGGTCCAACAGGGGTCAGCCCCCCTAGGAGACAGCAGAAGCCACAGCCAGGAGGAAGGTTCAGAGAGGTCCCAGGGGGTACCCGTCCTGGACAACAGTGGGAACCGCAGCCAGGAAGTAGATCCAGGGAGGTCCCAGGGAATGTCCCTTCTCAAGGGTGCTGGGTGCCACAACCAGGATGATGCAGAGAAGCCCTCGGGGATGGCCCCACTGGGGGACAGCAGAAGCTACAGCAAGGAAGAAGGTCCGCAGGAACCCCAGGGGATGGGTCCCCTGGGGGATAAAGAGAGCCAAAACCAGGAAGAAGGTCCAGTGAAGTCCGAGGGCACTGTCCTCCCCAAGGACAATAAAAGCCATAGCCAGGAAGAGGACCCAGAGGGGCCCAAGAAGACTGTCCCCCTGGAGAAGGGAAGCCACAACCAGGAAGAAGGTCCAAAGAGGCCTCAGGGGCCTCTCCCCCAGGGAGAAAGCAGAAGCTACAGCCAGGAAGACAATCCAGGGAAGGCCCAGGGAATGGCCCCCCTGGAGCATAGCAAGAGCCATAGCCAAGAAGGAGGTCTAGAGAGGCCCCAGGTGAAACCCCAGGGGGATAGCTGGAGCCACCGTGTAAGAGAAAGTCCAAAGAAACAGCAGCCTCAAGGGCAGAAGGCCAAGCAACCAAAAGGGAAAAAAGCCTCAGAATCTCAGCAACAGGAGAAGCCTGCCCCAGGTGGCAGTCCAGTGAATTGGGTCTGCCCATGGTGTAAAGCCATGAATTATTCATGGCGCACAGCCTGCTATAAATGCAAGAAAGCTTTTGTGCCAGTTGAGAGTTGAGGCGTTAACCTGGGACAAAGTCACTGATTTCAGGAAGGTAAGTAAGAATGGAAATACCTGAAAGAGAAACCAATTTCCTAAGATTTCTGATCAAAAAGAAACTTATTTACTTCACAGAAAATTTGAAACCACAATTACCATAGATAAAATTAAATAATCCATTATCCTATTACCCAAATTAATACCTTTTTATCATTGTGGGTACACAAACACACAAGTATGTGCATATTTACATTTTTATTTTATTCATTTACTTGAACAAAGAGGGACTACTTATGGATATCACAGTCACTCTTTAGGGGATTTCTAATTGCATTTCAGTTTTGCAGATGGTGGATTCCAGATAGCTGCCACTGATTGATTGACACCCTGAAGAAGCTGAAGTCATGAAGCCGCCTTTTTTCTCCACTGCCTTCTGTTTTCTTCTTAACCTCCTTTTCCTGAGAATACCATATATTTGTTTGTGATTTTAGAGTTATAAGTTGTGATTTTAGAGTTATAAGCTGTGTTGAATTTTAGGAACAACACTTTTCTTTGAAAATGCTATTCCTGTTGTAGTGTTCATGTTTGCTTTTTGTCAGTTTTATTTGTTATTTATTTATTTATTTTTGGAGACAGAGTCTCTGTTGCTTGGGCTAGAGTGCGGTGGTGTCAGCCTAGCTCACAGCAACCTCAAACTCTTGGGCTCAAGGGATCCACCTGCCTCAGCCTCCCGAGTAGCTGGGACTACAGGCATGTGCCACCATGCCCGGCTAATTTTTTTTTTTTTTTTTCTAATTTTAGTTGCCCGGTTATTTTTTTTCTATTTTTAGCAAAGACAGGGTCTCGCTCTTGCTCAGGCTGGTCTCAGACTCTTGAGCTCAAGTGATCCTCCTGCCTCAGCCTCCTGAGTAGCTGGATGACTACAGGCATGTGCCACCATGCCTGGATAATTTTTTCTAATTTTAGTAGAGACAGGGTCTCACTCTTGCTCAGGCTGGTCTCAAACTCCAGCTCAAGCAATCTTCCTGCCTTGGCCTCCCAAAGTGCTAGGATTACAGGCGTGAGCCACCACGCCCGGCCTGCTTTTTGCAAGTTTTACAGGGGAGGTTTTGTTTTTGTGTGTCAGCCCCACTAAACTTGCTGTTGCTGAAGAAGCTAAGCCTGTCCCATTAGAAGATCTCTCAAGACTGAAAAGAAATAACACCTAGATTCTGAAGTACCCACACCTTAGACCCCCAGTGGCTAAAGCCAAGAAGAGCGAAAGGAAGTCAGGGAAGAAAAGATGCTTTGGCACTCATTAGGGGTAAAGGGGAGAGTAAAATTGTTTTGTTAGGATTGAATTTTTTCATTGGGACAAGGAATTCACTTGGAAGAGTTCAGGGGATTGTAATGTTAAATTATATAGATGATAGCAACTTTGACAAATTTCATTTAATTCATAGGACAAATAGTTATTGTATAGTATGTGTTAGGAGCTAGACTTATATGTTATTATCTGGTGCACACATAATCCTTTTTGGCGAGTTTTATTATAAGACGGGAGAAAGCATAATTTGGGATACATATCAGATCAGAGGTGTCTTTGCCTTGCATGTAGTGTGGCCTTGGGTAAAACCAATTAAGTAACATCCAGATTCATTTTTGCCTTTGTTGGGGGGGGCGATGTGAAAGAGACTTTCATGAAAGGTCTTGAGTAACCAAACTGCTCATCTCATTAGTCCCAGCTGAGACAAATGGGCAGTGGCAAGGTTTAGGAAAGTGGCCTCACACAAGTACAGGCAGGGCTTTTCTCATCCTCTGTTGATGTCTTCCCTTGAGAGGGACAGCTATTTTCCTAGTTGCCCACCAGCCTGCCTGAAAGACCACTGGGGTGACTTAAGGAAAGACAGTGCTTGGGGGAGTGTTAGCTACATGCTCCAGCCCTCAGCGTTGGGCTGCTCCCATCTCAGGTCCCTTTCCAATCCACGGTGGATGAAGAACAAGATGGATTTCAAGAACAGTCATCGAAGCCACCAGGGTATGGATGGCGCTTCTCTTGGGAGGGCTAATTGGGTTAAAAATAGAATTGGACTGGGATGAGAACTCTTTTTGTTTTCTTTTGCTACCCCAGAAAGGGAGAATTAATGGGGTAAGAACTCTTGAGGATGCCTTGGACCCCTTCTCTTCTTGTGTTCTATGCAGGCTCTGTTCCCCCAAAGCAAGGAGGGAACCAGGGTGGAGCCCAGGAGTGGGAGGTTACATCCACCTCCAGTCTGAGCTAAACTTGTCCTCGAGTTCCCCCCCAGAATCCCACCCTGCTCACCAAGATCAACCTTTGTCAGGGGCTTTCTGTTCTAACTCATAATAAAGAGTATGCATTTGCCTGCTGTGTCTACTGTGTACTGTGTATCTCGGGGCAGGCTTGCTCAGGATAGCAGCTTAAATCTGCACCTTCCCTCCATCCCACTAAGGTGAAGGGATATCATTCATTCTTGAAGGGCCCCTGCTTTTCTGACGAGTTATCCAAGAATTGGGGGCACCTCTGCGGGGCCTTCAATCCATCGTGATTGTCCCTGCTACCCTTACCATCTTAAGTCCAAGTGGTCCCTCGAAGGTGAGCATGTCTGCTGCTCCAGGGCTGGCGGGGCACGAGGGAAGAGAAGGGGAGGGTGCTTCTGCCTAGGCCGGAAGCCCTAATGTCTGGGCTCCAGCTTCCCTATGTATACTAAGAAGCCATTTCCCTGAGACCCTGTCTCTCTGAAGTCCCCTGATGTCCTATGAGCAGAAATTGCCCCCCTGTTATTTCTGCCTTCCAAGGCACTGTCCCATTCCTCCTAGGAAGAATCCTGTCATAATCCTATCATTCTCAGGATTCTGGAAAGCAGCTAGCCTGTGGACTGTCAGCTCACAAGACAAATGTTCCATGAGGCCAAGGGGAGTGGAGGCCAGCTACCTGCTTGGTACTTGGACAGAGAACAAAAGTCACCCTGCCCACCAGCATTCTCACTTCTTTCAGAGTCATGATTTCTGGGAGAACACTGGAGAAGAAGGGGCTCATTAGGGATGTCAAACCCAAGGCTAGGTTTTCTAGATTAGGGGCTGGTCTTGTGATACTCACGGGTGCTGATAGCTCCTTAGAATTTTAGGGAGATGAGAGAGAGACTTGGGAATTTTCCAGCATAATCCGTTGTCATATACCAGCAGGTCATTCTAGATTTCACTATAGTTGCTGCTTTTATGGCTTCAAAATGGACTCTGCTGTACATTGGCATGCTTTTAGGCCTTTATGAAAACAGACTTAACCCTGTGCATAGCCTTTTTTTAATGAGATATAATGTACGCACAGACAGGTGCATGACTCCTAAGTGAACATCTTTGCCCTTTTTTTTTTTTTTTTTTTTTAGACAGAATCTCACTCTGTTGCCTGGGCTAGAGTGCTGTGGCATCAGCCTAGCTCATAGCAACCTTAAACTCCTGGGCTCAAGCAATCCTTCTGTCTCAGTCTCCCGAGTAGCTGGGACTACAGGCATGTGCCACCATGCCCATCTAATTTTTTTTCTCTATATATATTTTTAGTTGGCCAATTAATTTTTTTTTTTAGTAGGGACTGGGTCTTGCTCTTGCTCAGGCTGGTTTTGAACTCATGACCTTGAGCAATCCACCCGCCTCAGCCTCCCAGAGTGCTAGGATTACAGGTGTGAGCCACCACGCCCGGCCCCACATCTTCACATTTAAAAAAATCTTTTTTTATAGCTTTTATATATTTTAATATGATTATACAGTCTTTCAGGGCTGATCTTTTTCAAAGTAACCTGAATCATTGAGGCTGTCAAATTACTACTTTCTTCTAGACTGGGTATATGCAAGAAAAGGCAGCAGGTTTCTGTGGCACAAGCCTGGGCTTTGGTGCCAGAGAAACCTGAGTTCAGATACTTCCTCTGTTACTCACTAGCTGTGTGGCCTCAAACAAGTTACTGAACTTAGCTCCAACAGGTGTTAGTTCCCTTTCTCCCCTCCCAGGGTTCTGTTCTGGATGCTGTGGGAATGAGTGTAAGGGATTAGTAATGATAACAAAAGCTATCATTGAGTGCTTACTATGTGCCATGTACTCTAAACACATTACCCCTTTTGGTGACTTTAAGGTATACTAGGGACCCATATTAATAATTTTTCAAAGTTGGTACTATTACTCCCATTTTACAGATATGATAATACCCAAATTTGGGAATTGGTGAAGTCTGGCTTCAAAATGACATTTCACTGGTTCCAATGTCTGTGCTGTTTTCATCATATCACAGTTGCCCTAACCCTTCACCCTTACTGAGTAATATATTTGCATGTTAACAGGAATCATCATTCCTAAACCGAAAGAAATGACTTATAATGGAGGGACTTTGAGGCACTCTGGTGGTCATGGAGTCACTCTTTTAGAATCTCAAGTTTGGGGATATGTGACTACCTTGGCTGCCAGTGAGTATGGTCATTTATTATCTTAGTCACCCAAACTGGAAAAGCCTGTAATTTAGGCAGTGGGAGTGACTTGTGTTTGATTCAGCAGATCAGCCTTCTGAAAATTTGTATCCGGGTTTCATATTAAGATAAAACACATCTTGGTTGCTTATCTAAAGTTTATCTGAGTTACTCAGTTTTTGTTTTACGTGGATAAGGTGCCAGCTCTAAAAGTCCAATATACAGTACGTGTATGTAGTTTTCAGTGAGGAAGGTGGGGGGGAAAAGGAGACTTCAAAAACTTCAGACTCACATTGCAAAACGGAAAAGAGAATTGATGCTTTTTAAATCTTGGTGCTAAATCTATGACAGAGTGGCAAAGAAATACACAATTTTCCTATCATGTGCTTTATAAAGTCTCAACACCCAATGGTAGTGGCTTCTTATGTGGTGCAGGCACCATATAGCACTCTTGAGTGGTTTCCTCACTTCTAGCACATGATGAGTAGATCCACTGGCTCCAAACCACATAGACACTTAAGGATACTAAATAGACCTAGCCTGTGACCTTATAAGGTTGCTGTTGAACAGATTTTCTTATTGACTATACTGTTTATTTTTTGGCATTTAAGAAAGTGTTCAGAAACACAGTAAAATAGGCACAGGAAGTATTGCTGCATTGGATATCAGTAACCCCAGGAGACCTAGTAGAATTCCTTAAGTACAACCCTCTATTTGGTTCACTGTTGGAAGCACTCTTTTCAATGGACCTAAGAATTACCTTAGCAGGTCATATCCTGACCCATCCGGCCTAACTCCTCTGGGGCATAAAGCAATTGTGGAAAAGCACCATATCATCCTGAGTGTCAATTTTAGAGGTAAGCAATGCTACCAGGAATCTCTTGTTTCTTTTGTTACTTTACAGATCAAGTAAACAGCAGGTATTCAGAACAGAATTGTTATCACTTCTCAGCCTTTTGGCTAAGATCAAGTGCAGAACAGAATTGTTGTGAGTTGAGCAACGTGCTCTACTCTGTAGAAGTGATCGTTATTGTCCTCAATGACCTCCTATACTATTAGAGGAAATAAGGTAAATATATGCCAAACTGTACTCAGCCTTTTAATCGATTGTTCCATTATATTTTTGGCCTGCAGATGTCAATTTTTGAAATATTCTACACATATATCAAATGATTTCAATTAATAAGTA